GACATAGATCTATTAAATAATAATATAAGCAATACAGTAAAAGAAAATGAGTGTACAATTAAAAAATGTAGAATTAAAGATTTAAAGTAGAGGTAAAAAAGGTCAATGAAAAGTGATTAACAAATCAATGCATAGAAATAAAAGAGTATGGCAGAAAATACGACAGCTTTAACATGCATAAAAAAATAAAAGAAATAACAAATACCAAAAACCGAGCACACTATGGGATAGTCAAAGATGATAATGGTAAACTCATTGCAGACATCAAAGATAAACTAAGATTTTGGTGAAAATACATAATGAAACTATTCGACGATGATAGAATAATACAAAAAAAACCACGTGAACAAAGTTGTGTGGTCTCGAAAGGTCACGTTCAGCATTGCACGTTCTATGGCTCGTTGTGTAACTATAAGTTTATTCGCAGATTTTTGTGTGAGTGTTAAAGTCTCTGCTCCATAAGTTTGAACATGTAAAACACCTTGGTTATAAACCTTTCGCTTGAGACACATGGGAATTGAACTTTTTAGAATATGGCCTAATTTGCCAAATGCTGCCCATGTCAGGCCTATTCGCCTCTGAATATATGAAATCATGTGTTTGATTCTCTCTGCTTATTTTGATCTCGTGTCCTAGATATTTCTAAGTGCCTGTTTGTTGTATGGTATTATTGTCAGTAGTTATATTTCTATTTATTACGAAATTTGTCATAAGTTTAGTTTTCTTAAAGTTTATCTTTAATCCTGCTCTTTCAGACAGACTCTTAAGCGAATGTATCATAGAAACTGTATCCTGTAAGTTATCTGCGATTATTACAACATCATCTGCAAACCTTAGATGATTTAATCTTTCTCCATCTATATTGATGCCCATATCTTGCCATTAAGTGCTCTTAAATATTGACTCTAGAGCTGCCGTAAACAATTTTGGTGAAATATTGTCTCCTTGTCTAACTCCTCTACCTAAGCTGAATTTTTCTATGTCTTCGTATAGTCGTATACTTGATGTAGCGTTGTCGTAGATGTTTTTGATTAGTGTCGTGTACCTGTAATCTATTCAGTGTTGATTTAGGGCTTTTAGTACTGTTTCAAACTCTATATAATCAAAAGCCTTTTCATAATCGACAAATGCAAGAACCGGTGGTATGTTGTACTCGATGCACTTTTCTATTAAGATCTTTATGGTATGTAAATGGTCACTTGTGCCATATCCTGCCCTGAAGCCTGCCTCTTCTTTGAGCTGATAGAAATAAAGTTTAGGTGTTAGTCTCTTTGTTAAAATTTTCATAAAAAGTTTGTACATATATGTCAAGAGGCTGATGGGTCTATATTTTCTAATTTAGTTATATCGCCTTTTTTGTGTAAGAAGACTACCACTGCATTGTTCCAGTCTTTCGAAATCGTACACACATGTAAGCATTTATTAAACAATTCTTTTACTGATTTTAATAGAATTTCTTCTCCTGCTTTTATTGCCTCAATAACGAGTCCATCATCACCAGGCGATCAACTTCTGACACAGTAATGGGTAAAAGTATTTCCGATCCCTTATGAGAGTCTTTACTCGTGTCGGAAAATTGTCTTGTGGTCTTTGGCTGGTATAGAGGTCTTTATGAAACTCACTTGTTATTTTCAGAATGTTTTGTTTATCTGTTGTTGCCTTTCTGTCTTTATCTCTCAGCTTGTATATTTATTTTTTACTTTGTGTGAGTTTTCTTTTCATTACCTTTAAACCTTTGTTCTCTTCTACTGTTTGAGTAATTACATTAGTATTATATCTTTTCTAATTTTCAACGAAATTCTTTTATTTAGTTTTTTTATATTTTTCTTTGCTTCCCTTATTATATATAATCATATGCGCTCTTAGTTCTTCCGTCTGGACTAGCCCACGTCCATTTTCTATTCTGTTTCCTTTTAAAAAATATGTTCATTGCATACAGTTCGTGTTGCAGTAGAAAGTTGGTAAGCATTTCGCCTCTTTCGTTTCTTACTCCGATTCCAAAATCTCCGGTTGCCACTTCCTGTTCGTCCTTTTCCCTTCCGAGTTTCCCGTTAAAATCTCCCATTATCAGATTGTAATGAGCCGGCTCCTGCTTGTTTACTCTTTCGATTTCCTCATAGAAGGCTTAAACAATTTCATCTTCGTAATCGCTGGTGGAGGCGTATAAGTGGATTATTTTCAGATTGTATCTCTTATTTAGTCTTAGATTTATATACATAACTCTTGGCGAAATGCAGTCAATGCTCTGTATATTTTTCTATAATTTTTTGTGTACTAATAAACATATTCCTCCAGTTGTCGATCCTGTTTCCCCTTTATAGTGGAATATGTTTCCTGATTTTAGTTTGACTTGATCTTCACCTCTTCTTTTGAATTATGTACAGCGTTCGTCGTTCTTGGTAGCCTTTTACAACCCGGGGATTCTTCGCACCCTCTGCCCTCTATCCGTGAATCCTACCGCTACCTTGGTTGGGAACTAGTAAGCTGCCGGGGACTGAGGGCCGTTTTCTTGAATGTCTGTTCATGCTGAGGAGGTTTTGGAATTTAAACACCACGCTTGCCAGGCGGGTTGGTAAGTTGGTTTGGGAAATTGGTAGGATAGTAGCTATTGGGTGGGAATGGGGTTAGGACATGATCTTTATCTTGGGCGTTGTTTGAGTAACAGAGTATTTTTATTTCTTTGTTTTCCATTCTGTATTCTATTCTTTTGTTAACGCTTTTATTGATTTCATCCATCATCAAATTGAAGAGCATGGGGCTCAATGAGTCCCCTTGTCTTATTCCGCTGCATATTTCTATAGGTTCTGAAAGTTGTCCATCTATTCTGACTTCCATTCTGTTGTTTTGGGAAATGTTTTCAATAGTTTTTATAGTATTTAGGGGAACTTCTCTATTATACAAAAGTATTTAACAAGTATTTATAGTATTTAACAAGTTTGTAGCTTTCTGGTTGTTTTTATCTCCTTTTTTGAATAGTAAAATTAGTTCGCTCGTTCTCCATTCTTCCGGTATTTTATTGTGTTCTCTAATTTTATTATTCAATGTTGTTAATTGTTCTGTAATTGCTGCCCCACAATATTTCGCTAATTCGTTTGGTATCCTGTCTTTACCTACTGCTTTTTTGTTCGTAAATTTTTTTAAGTATTTTTCGACCTTCCTGTATATTTAAGTTCTTCATTTCTGGTATTCACGGTTCTAACGTCGTTTTGTTGTTTCTCTGCATGGAGCTTTTTTACGTTGTCAATCCACGTATCATTTTATATGTATTTTAGTTCTATCAGTTCCTTTACCTCTTATGAAGCGCCATATTTCCTTTGAAATATGGCGTCATATTGCCTATTTGAAATTGAATTATTTAATTATTCTTCCAAACATTTTCGTAAAACTCCTAATAAGTGATGAAGGTGTATAGGCAAACACTTTTGGTAATTCGATTTAAATCAGTAAGGAAAAATTTACTCTAAACTTTTATTTTTACTCTTAACAAAAGCATGATCCAGGAGAGTTTTGAAGGTACTGTAGTGAACTTGTTAATGGTTGAATTATACAAAAATTTGCTTAAAACATTATTATATTCAGAGATTGTTTATTTATCTGAGATAATCATCATCATCTTGGTGCTACAGCCCTTAGAGGGCCTCGACCTTCTCAAGCTTTCTACGCCATTCTGTTCTGTCCCTTGCTTGCATTTTCCAATTGCCGACTTCGATCTTCTCCGCATCTTGTGTTCCCCCATCCATCCACCTCAGCTTTGGTCTACCCCGTGTTCTCATTCTCACAGGTTGCGCTGTTAGAATCTTTTTTATCATGTTCGATTCAGGAGCCCGGGCTACATGTCCTGCACACTGCAATCGGTTTCGCTTAATTATAGTGGTAAGATCTTTACCACCAAACGTATGCTTGTAGATATTCTGCAGTTCAAAGTTATATTTACGCCTCTATATTCCGTTCTCACAGACCGCTCCAAATATCTTGCGTAGCACCTTTCTTTCAAAAATGGATAGAGCGAATTCATCTGTTTTCGTTAGCGTCCATGCCTCTGATCCATATGTGAGAACGGGGACTATCAGTGTTCTATACAGCCTTATACGAGTTTTTTGAGACAGACGTTTGTTAGCTAAGTACTTTGATAGTCCATGATAACACCTGTTTGCAATTATCATTCGCCTTTTTATTTCCTCAGATGTGTTATTATTGGGGTTAACCGATGTCCCTAGATATATGAACTCTTTGACTGCTTCGAAGTTTTGGTCATTGATAATTAAATCTGCGTCAACGTTTCCAGCTCTTGTGTTTGTGTTAGTCGCCATGAATTTGGTTTTATTTTGATTTAAATGTAACCCCATTCGTTCTGCTGCTGCTACTAGCTCGGTTAGGATTTCCTTATTTCTCGCCCTGTTAGAATTTGGATTGATCTATTGAATATTCTTCCTCTGCTATCTAAATTAGCGTCTCGTACAACTTTTTCTAAGGCGACATTAAAAAGCTGACACGCCAGCGCATCTCCCTGCCTTAACCCCCTATGTATTTGAAATGGGGTTGACGAGTCGTTTTGAATTTTTACTGCTGATAGCATCTTCGCCATTGTCACTTTTATCAAACTGTTATCACTGAGATAATCATACAGCTCTTAATATGTTTATTTGTTTTTTTCTTACATATTCTGCGTCAATAACTTCCCTATAGTTGTTAAATCTCTTTACTAGATCTTTTTACTTAGATCTAGAAAAAGTTTACAGTTTTTAATTTTTTGCTAGTGTTTTGTACATTTAGTACAGTAGTTTACAGGATATGAAAATAAAACCCCTAACAATAGATAAAAAATAAACAATCCAAGATTATTTGTTAATATTCCTGTTTCAGATAAAGTTGTGAACTAATGTAGGCAATTAAAAATGTATTATAACATGGGAAAAGCTGGTGGTGATAGTAACAATATATAAAAGAACTTTTTTATTAGTACGTTCATATCGAATTTTGAACTGCAACAATATTCAACAATGATGAAATTTGTGAGTATTTGTACCTTTGTGTATTTTTATTAATTATTATTATTTATTAAAGAGCATTTGTGATTTTTTTCATTAATCAACTATATTTTCTTTAGGTCTCTCTTTAAGTTGTAGTATATTTGTTAATGTATTTAATCTTCGTTTATTTTTTTCCATTTCATAAATGTTTGTATTTGTTGTTCAAATTTTTCTTATGTGGATATCATACTTTTTTTCATCCTTATATGTCGTTCTTTATTCTTTTTAACTAAATGGTGTCTCAGATATCATCGCTAATGAATTTCTTTATTACACAATGGACCACTCGTATCCTTTTATTTTAACTATCCCTCTCTTACAATATTGCACATATTTTAATCCATTTTCCGGTTGCACTCAAGATCATTTGTAGACAATACAATATTCACATACTTCTCGGTAATTTCTTTTTCATTCAGAGCTGATTACAGATCTTTTTAAGGTACTCTATTAAGATCAATCAATTCCAAATAAACGTTGTTGTTTCTATTCCTATTTTTTCATTCTTCTTCTTCTCCTAAAGGTGCCTACAGTCTAATGATGGTCGAAACAGACCCATTGATTTCCTAAGATAGACCAGCCGGGATATACATCTATCTCCAGGGCGACTCTTGCCCTGTAGAATTAACTGTTAAAACCGGTATTTATTATTGCACATTATGCAGCCGGAGTAAGCCATTTTTTGTTCTTTACGATGTCTATAATTTCTGTGTCTCTTATTAGCCTCTTCTTCTTCTTAGAGTGTTGTCTCCCTATAGAGGTTGGCAATCACAATAGCTATTTTTATTTTAGAACGTTGCTCTAAACAAATCAATCCATCTGCAGTGATACCAATCACGTATATTCTTCAACCATGAAGTCTGCCTTCGGCCAACAGATCTTATTCCTTGAATCTTCCCCTGTAGTATGAGTCTCAAAATTTCATATTTTGTTCCCCTCATCACGTGGCCTAGGTATTCCAGTTTTCTGGTTTGTATAGTAATGATTAGTTCTGTTTCTTTACCAACCCTCTCTAGTACTTCTTTATTTGTAATTCTATCGGTCCATGATGTTTTTAATACTCTGCGATATAACCAGAGTTCGAAGGCCTAGATTCTTTTTAAATTGCATTTTTTGAATGTCCAAGTCTCAGCTCCATGTAATAATATTGAAAATATATAAAAGCGACTAATATCTCTTGATGTCTTATCTCCAAATTTCGATTTTTGCACGTTAGGAGTGGCTTCATTCGTATAAATGCTGATCTGGCATTCTCCTCTTTATTTCTGCAGTATGATCATTGGTTTCATTGATTAAAGTTCCCAAGTACTGATATTCTTCTATTTGTTCTATCACGTTACCACTGATTGTCAATAGGTGATATATATTTTGTGGCCTTTTTGTAATTAGCATGTACTTCGTTTTTTTAGCGTTGTAGATCTTCTATACTCGTTGCTATGATCACAGTATCGTCTGCATATCGTAAGTTCTTAATTAATTTTTTGTTAACGGTAACTCCCGCTTTTATATTATTGAGCGTGTTTTGGAAAATTTCTTCATAATATAAGTAACACAAAAGTGGCAATAAAACACATCCCTGTCTAACTTCTCTACAGATCTTCATTTCTTCTGAGTGTTGTCAATTAATTTGAAGTATAGCACTTTGATTCCAATATAATGTTTGCACTATATTAACGATTTTAATGTCAATGAGCTTGTTCATATTGATATTAGTTTTTCATGTCTTACTTTACCGAAAGCTGAATCAATATATTGATGGCAAGTAGTCCTTCTCGAGTACTCAATCCATTTCGGAACCCGAACTGTGTCTCTCTAATATCCTCCTCTAGCCTTTTGTATATTCTCTTATGTATTACTTTCAGCAGTACTTTTAAACTATGACTCATGAGGCTCAGTGTTTGATAATAAGAGTACCTTTTCTGCTGCTTGTTTTTTAGGTATGGTTATAAATGCTGACTTCAGCCACTCTTGTGGTATTATTCCCGTATCGTACACTGTGTTGACTAAATCTGGCAATATTTCCAAGTTATCCCCTTTCACTAGGTTCAACAGTTCTACTGGTATTTCAAATAATCCAGCTGTCTTATTGTCTTTAAAGTTTTTGATATCATATTTGATTTTATCTATTGTGATCTTCTGTCTCTCTAATGGATTTAATTCTTGTATTTTCTGCATTTCACCTCTTTCATCTTGGAAAAGTTCTCTGACGTACTCCTCCCATCGTCTTAATTTCTCTGGTAAATCTATTAGTAGTACTTCTTTTTTGTCTTTTATGTGTCCTTGCTATCTATTTCGACCCATTCCAGTCACTTCTCTTATTTTTTTGTGCATATTTCTCATATCATATTTTGTTTCTAGGTCTTCTATCTCTTTACATTGTTTCATCAAATAGGTTTCGTTATACTTCTGTACTTCTTTATACTTCTGTAGATATTTTCATTTAAATTTCCTATTTTTTTCCATCTGTAGAAGTATTTCTTCTGCCATCCACCGTTTTTTAGGCTCTGATCTATTATGTATCAAACTTTCTTGAGCTGGTTTCAGTAGTGTTTTTTATATCATACCACTTTTTATTTACATTCATAATTTGTTTGTTGTCAGTTAGTGTTTTTTGCTTATAAACATTCACATTATTTTTTAATTTGTTCTATATTTCCTCGTTTTTACATTCTTACATTAATTTTTGGTTGTCGTTTTCTGAGTTCAATTCTTTTTAATTTTATTTTCACGTCAGCAACTAACGGATTGTGGTCTGAGTTAACATCTGCTCCAGGATAAGTTTTAACTGAGTTTACAGAGTTTTTATATCTGCTATTTACGAGTATAAAGTCTATTTGGTTTCTGACAATGTGGTTTTCTGTATGTGAAGGAGACGTCCATGTATATAGTCTTCTCTTAGGAAGCTGAAACCAAGTATTGGCAATTACCATATTGTTTTGTTGGCAGAATTCTATGAGCCTTTCTTCTCTTTCGCTTCTAGTTCCTAATCCGAACTGTCCAACTATATTTTCAACTGTACCTACTCCAAATTTTGTATTAAAGTCTCCTAAAATGTAAGTAATATCTCTAGATTTTGTTAACTTGATTGTATTGTGCAATTCTAAATAAAACTTTTCGATCTCATCTTCGGTCTTATCAGCTGTGGGAGCATAGACTTGGATCATAATAATATTATAGTTCCGTGCTGGTGTCCATTTCAGTTAATTTTCTTGTTGTATCCTTAACTTAGATGTCAAGATGTGGACCTTAAGTCTATCTATCTAATTAGCCTTCTTCGGTCCATCTTTGGACATAGGCCTCCCCAATCCTTTTCCATTCTTCTCTGTCTGTCGCTACGGTCATCCATCTAGAGCCCACGTGCTTCTTGATATCATCTGCCCATCTCATTTGGGGCCTTCCTCTGCTTCGTTTATATTCCCACGGTCTCCAACTTATAAGAATTTTATTCCATCGGTCTTCTTTTTATCTTATATTGTGTCCGGCAAATCTCCATTTCAATTTTGCAACTTCTTGTCTAACATCCCTCACTTTTGTTTTCTCTCTTATCCACTCGTTTCTCTTCTTATCCATTAGTCTTATGTGCAACATTTGTCTTTCCATTGCTCTTTGGGTTTTTATGATTTTGTCCATGTTTGCTTTTGTAAATGTCCACGTTTGGGAGCCATACGTAAGAACAGGGAGTATACATTGATTATATAGTTTGGTCTTAAGATGCTGTGGATATCTTTTGTTTTTAAAAATGTAGCTTAGTTTGCCAAATGCCGCCCATGCCAGTCTAACTCGTCTCTTGATCTCTGCTGTTTGGTTCTCTTTGTTAAGTTTTATAGTTTGACCAAGATATATTGGACCTTAAGTACTATTTAAAATATTAAAAATCGTTTTCGTTAGTTGCGATATAATAAACATCGCATCTGTCGTTGATTTGCCATATTTTTAAACCATATTTTCATTAATTACTTTCAGGTACTTATTTCCATACTGGTAGCACTTGCTGTTGCTGATCCTCAGCCAGGTGCAGTAGACATTTTGGGAGGAGTGGCAGATACTTTAAATGCAGGTGTAAATACTGCTGCTAGAACAGCTAAGAGCCTTTTGGGGGTTGAAAGTAAGTAGAAAAAACTGAAGTACATAATTTTGAAGTTCTTTAAAGTACATATTTTTTGATATATTTGTCTTTCCATAATATAGAATGCCTTTATATTAAATAAAGACTTCTTTAATGTGTTTAAATGTTTCTAATAATGATTAAACCTCTCAGTATTTAATTTTGGAATTCTTGTTATTATTTGGTAATTAATAATTTTTTATTCCTTTTTTTTAGCGCCAAAAGTCACCAACCTCAACATATGTGCTGGAGGTATAGGTTCGCTTTATCCATTCTACGCTTCTATTGGTGTTTCCCCAATTCCTGGAACTTTATACTGTAGTTGCCCACCAGGTTACAACTATATGAACGTACCATATCTTCGCACGGCTTAAGATGATTTTCTTGATTGTGAAAATAATTTGTTTGAAATAAAACTTATAGAAAAATTACACTTGTAGGTTTTTGATATTGTTTAACATTTGTTTGGGTGTAGCATTTACGCTGCTTCTTAATTTAGAGATAATCAGTATATTAAAAATAGATAATAATATAAATATCATATAATAATTAGATAAGGAGGATATATCTATTATGATGTAAGAATAAACTGAGATTGGTTAGATCCATTGGTTAGAGAAGAAGAGGAAGATCCAGAACAAGGTTCCTTGATAACATCGATGAAGACATCAGAAATATGATAGGAACAACTGGAGAAAAATTCTTCCAAAACTCTTCCAAAAAATTTCGAACCGTAAAGTGTAATACTTTGGACTATACTACCGTAAATGTGTTTTTTGGTTTCTCGTTGAATTGTTTTTTGCCAGAGAAGAGAGTTTAAGGCACGGGTCGCTGCTCTACCCTTGTTTGTTTTTTCCTGATTTTATCTGCGCTATTTCCCTTCTTTGATTTTGTCGTCTTCCAAAACTAGGTCACATATTTCATCTGTTCCCACTGACAGGTATTCACATTTTGTCATATTCATGTTTAGACCTGCCACCTCATATTCTTCTTGCAGTTTTCTTACCATATAGCTAAGATCGTCGCTGTCTTCAGCAATTACTACCTGGTCATCCGGAATCCGGATGACCGGAGGAGCAGGTAAATATTTCTAAAAAAAAACAATGTTCGACTGAAACAGTTACTTCAGACACTGTGTCAAATTTCATTGGATAGAGTAACAGAAGCTTTATTGGAAAAACGCGTTTGGGCAAGACCATAGATTTTAAAAAGTAATGAACGTGAATCATCCGCACTGGTTTTGGAAGAACTTCGTAATGAAGACTTAAAAGAGTATATCAGTATTTTACGAATGAATCCAGATGTGTTTGATATTCTGCTAAAGTCTTGTAATGCCAAAAATTCAACGTCAGCATACTATTATGAGAGATGCTTTACCAGCAAGGGTAAAGTTCTGAGGAGATACGAGGATATCCAAAATCAAAACTCAATACTAGCTCCAAGAAACCAAGAGAAAAAGGGAAAACCAGAATAATAACTGACACTCCAGAAAAGCTTATTCTGGCAGAAAAACAGATCAATAAAAAAACGAAGAAAACCACCAACTCTAATGCTGAACGTACGAAACTTAAGAAAAGGAAACTTCTTTTTGAAAATGAGAGAATGAGAAGACATGATGATGAAAATGGCAAAAACTCTGATGATAAAACATTAGAAGAACAAAAGCAAAATTTTGACAGGAGTGAATTGAAAATTGAAGATTTTATGCTAATTAAATTTGGGATTGTAAAACAAAAATATGTGTACTATGTTGGGAGAATCATTGATGAGAGTGATGATGGGGATGTTGAAATTTAATTTTTGAGAATGTCATCTAAAGTCAATTATAAGTTTTTCTACCTCATCGTACCAGATATATCTAAGTTTTAGTGCTTCTTTATCAGAAATTGTATCTCTTTTGCCAACTTCTTCTGAGCAGCGTACAAAGCAACAGAAATCATTATTGTCTTTTTCAGTTATTGTAAAACTTCAATATGCATTAGGGGTTTGATTAAGTATAATAATATAGTTTTAAATATTGTAATAAATAATTTCTAAAACATTTATATAAGGTTGTCATTTTTCCAATTGTGTCTGAAGCTACCCTATTCCCCGTCTGAAGGAGCCCCCTCTTGGGGGACGTTTTTGAAAAAGTGGTTTTGATTTTTTTTACAAATACAGGGTTTAATATGAAAAGCATATATACAGTAAAAGTTGCGTGAAAAGTGTATTTTATGAATATTTTCTTTCTTTATTTGGTGAGGTATTTAGACTGATATGACAGTTCAACAGTTATAATGTTTATGTCTGAAGAAGCCATACTCTCCCCTAGATAAGAAGGAGAAGACTTTTACAATAGGCATAGAAAATTAAAGCTTAAACAGCTGAGAAAACCATTTGTACAAACACAAGCATTTTATATCAAAGATTAAACAAACATTCTATATTAATGACACAAGGAAAAACACAGACGATATACTGGTTGCCAACATCTGAAAAAGTCGAGACTAAAACATTTCTGTTTTAAAAATCAACAATTTAATATTTTTATTTACCTTTAGTATGTTTTAAATTAAGTAGCAAAATATAAAAACAAAATTAATTTGTTATTACTTTATATATTTGCATACCTACGACTACCGGCGCCATCTATGTTTCGTGCAAATATTTTCGAATGTATTGTGATATTACCCATTCGCTTAAATCGTCGAAGTCAGAAGATGATGAATTGTTAAGATCGAGAATCACTGGCTTAGTCCTTTTAATTTTATTGCCCGTTAAATGATACTTTCTCGGTTGGGTGTCCATAACTTTTCTTTTTACAGTTGTTTTCTTTATATTGTTGTTTATTCTTTCCTCGTGGTCGTTTTCTATTTCATTTTTCTCAGGTGTATCAGTTAAGACTAGACGCTTGCTCCTTTTACGAACTTTTTGTATGTTTGTTCTTGGAGGTGGCTTAGGTAAAGGGCGGACTACCTTTAGTGACTTGTATGGTAGCTTAGGTTCTTCAGTCTCAGCAGGTATTTTAAGAATATTAAATTTGTTTTGAAATAAATGTCTTCATTGATATTAGCAGAATTATTTCTATGAGTGACCGAAGAACTATACAACTCGTATTATTGAAATACATCTTCATTCACTGGCCAGATCCCTGAAATTCTGAATCCAGATTTAATATTTGTGCGATTAAATGCTATATGCCTGACCAGAAATTTCAGCCACATCGTAAATAAATATTAGTTTTCCTGGGTTTTTTATCATCCATTCGGTGCACGCGTTGTTTTAATAAGTTTTATATGGGCCAAAAACACTGCGATCGAAGGGTTGGAGCTTATGGCTCGTATGGGGTGGAATAGTCAATATTAGGATCCCATGTTCTTTAGCTAAGTTGATGATTTCAGGTGTAATATGACTTTTATGATTGTCTAATATTACTAATATTCTATCATCGACGGAAGGCTTTGTGATATGTATGAAATGCCTTAAATATTCTAAGAATATGACTCCATTGGACCAACCACTAGGATGAGCCGTTTCCACCTAATCAGCAGGTGCACCTTTCAACATATAGGGCTTAAAATTCACTCTGGGAAATATGTACATAGGATGACAGCATTCCCTGAAGCACTTATAGCAGCGATAAATGTTACATTAGTACCCCTTTAGGAAAAAAGGAAATTATCTATCCTATAAATACTGACTTTTCACAAAATAATTCACTATATTTTTAAGACAGCCGCAAATGATTTCTGGTGACGTTCAACAACTAACCACAGAATGACGACGATTGTAGAAGGGCCTGATATAACAAACAGAGAAAGATCGAGGGCCAAATTTAAAAAAAAAATGGAGTGGCTCATGGTACAAGCTGGCCCAAGATACAAACCTCTCCCCTACTTTTTTGTCCCCTACAGAGTAGAACAAACATGTCTGTCTTTCTCTTTCACTCCCGGGCTTCTTCTTCTATTTGACATGTCACTAATGTTCAGGTAGATTTACAAATATTAAAGTAGATTTACAACTTAACACCACGTAGCGGTAAGGAGGTCTAATAATTAGTTCTCCTTCACTATATATAGATAAATATATAGGATAAATTTTAGGAAGAATAAAATATAAGTACTCACATTTCAATTCACACCGAGTTTTTATTAATCAAATATTTTATTTTACTCTAAAATGAACGCAAACCTTATTAATGTTAAATGAAGTCAATTAGATATTCAGAAAAAATATAATAAAGTTAAATTGGTGTGCAGTAGCAGGTGGCACAGCAAGTCGCAGGTGGACAGCATGGCGCAGGCGCAGGCGCATGAGCATGTACATCACCATCTTGGGTATATACTATGACGGGGTCCTGTGATCTGATCGGTTTTTTTGCGAAAAAGTTTATGACATCATCGAAGGTGTTTGATATTGATTGCATAATTCGGTCCGCGCCTTGATAAAATAAACATTTTTTAGGTGCTTTTACAACAAATCCATGGATGCATACAAACAAGGTGGAGACTACGACCTAAAATGAGAAAGGTGTTTAAAATGATCATACTACAAACTAAATTTACTACATTTGTCCATAAGATGTAATCTAAAATCTAATCAATAATAACTTTCTTTGGCTCCTCCTCCTCAGTCATAATCCCTTTTGGAATGTGGTGACACCATCAGAACTTTACAGTTTTTTCCCGATTTCCTTCATCCTTCCCTGTCTTGGGCTAGTTGTTTAGGTTCATGTAACCCTTGGTTAATCAATATTCTTTTGTTCTTATTAATTTCAAAGTACATTCCATTATTTTCTGCTCATACTATTTGATTTTCGTTGATTCAAAACGTCTTTTTCCTTTGTTTGTATTCCTATATTTCATTTCAATATTTTCCTATTACAAATAAATTCCCCGATTAATTTCTTAAGTCCCCTCGTAGTTATACCTTCGCTTACTTTATCATTTCTTTTTTAAAATAAACCATTAAACGACAAGGTACTAAAAAATAAGTCCTCGTGGTCAGAAACTTCCAACGGT